CTGTGTGTGTGTGTGTGTGTGTGTGTGTGTGTGTGTGTGCTGCTGCAATCACGTTAATTAAAAAGGTGCAAATTGTAAGACGCGCCGAATGGCGCGTCGGGAATGCCACGAACCACGACGCGGAGCCAAGTGTTGCCAAAAGCTGACAGCTGTTAATGAACGAGTTGAAATGTGGCTTGGTCGAGGGGGGGCACGTGGAGGGGTGATGCGAGTCACGTGCTGCACATCAGTCGGCTGCTTGGTAATTAAACGTATCATCATTTCTTATAGCGGCGATGCACCCAACCAACCAGCTTTGCTCTCATATGCAGCTTCTCTCTCTCCCCTCTCTCCGTCGCCATTTTAACTCCCACTTGCCACATTTGCATTTTTGCATGCATTTTTATATTAACGCCCCAAAACGAGATGCGACGCGCAGCAGACAAAAAGGATTTCACAGACCAAAAGGATGCGACGTTGCTGCTGGGCATGGTCTGCGATTGCGACTGTCCTGCACCAGCACCCTGTCTCCTAACCTCATTCTCCTACTCATCCAACGGCCTCGGGAATGGAGTATATTAAATGAAGTCTACGTCTCTCAGGCAGAGGCGGCGCTTCTAAAAAAAAAAAACATTTATATATATATATAATTTTTTTTGTTTTGTTGTTGTGCAATATGAAAATATGAAAATTCATTTTGTTTGTTGCTATCGCAGACGCCGCCGCTGTCGCAGTGCAACAATGGCGTCAAAACAGCGACACAGCAACAACAACAACAACAGCAAACAGCAACATCAACAACAAATGGAGAAACATGCATTCAAAAAACTACATCATGTGGGACAGCTGTTTTGGTTGGAGACGCCAAAGGAAGACACATTAATAAAATAGACAACTGGAAAAGTATTTCAGCCAAGTGCATTAAAATGCCGTAGAAGCGAAATAATGATATTTAATTTAGTCAAGTGAAATGGATCCTACAGCAACTTAACAACAGCTGGCATTTATATGAGCAATATAATTAAATTTATTGCGACCATCCCAATGAAAAATTCTTGGCAACTGGGAAAAATGGAAAAACTTATTTCAGTGTGCGTGCACACAAAGAAATAAATAATCAAAACTTAATGTAAACAAATAGAAGTAATTGTACTTGAAGCTGTTCTTTTTTGAATTTTTGAATTTTTATCCACATAATTTATCTAAACTCATAAGCGATAACTCTTTGACAAATGCACTCAAAGTATGCCACTATCATAATTAGCCATTAGCCAAATGACTTCATTTAAGTAGTCTACGTTGTAGATGGATATGGAAACTACACCATTTAAATATCTCCAATCCACCATAATTCAATGCGAAACTTAGTACTCAACTGACTACTATCATCTCAGATCGCAATTGCCACACTTAATTGAATTAAGAAATGCCTTGAAATGAGTTACGACCACCTGCTGGCTGAATGCGATATTTGAAACTGTTCAATTAGTGCTCAATATCGGTTGGCAATAATTTAAAGTTTGACAACTTTCAAAAATATATAAAATATATAAACTCAAATTACCGGCGCTGTACTTATAAAGTATGCGATTTATAATTAACATTTCATAAATTCTGAATCGTGATAAGAGAGTTTTCCATTAAGAATCAATTAAAATGCAAAGTCGATCAAAAAGTGTTCGCTCAGTGGTTGCTGTTAATAGTATTGCCTCGACCGACTGAGATGAAGTTATCGCGATTGAACCACTTTTCACACAAGATTAAGTCTATAGAGTGGCAATAAAAGAAAAATGCATATTTATTGAAATAACATAATTTACATGAAAATGCCAATAAATTGTCAGGAGATTATTATTATGCCGGCCAACGCAGCGTATGTGCAACTTTACTGCCCCATTAGCCTCAAAATTTAAAAAAAATAATAATAAAGAATAATTATCTTTAATTTATCGAAGATTAAATACACTTGCGATTCAGTATAATATACAACTAATCTATCAACTAATAAACGTGCAATATTTATTGTTTGCCAAAACTGGTTTCAATTTTAAAAATATTGTTATAAAGTGAGTTTTTTGCGTTACACAGTACGTGACAAAATTGCAATACTCTCTGTCAGCGCATAAAATATAGATGTGGAGCGATTTAATCAGTTACTGTGCGCTGTTAATGAATTGAATTGCATTTTTTTGCGCTATCGCCAGACAAACAGAACCGCACAGACCCCCACAGACTCAGTGTCAGTTCCAGTTTTACAGTTCTCCAGTTTCCCAGTGGGCAGCCACTGTTTTTCTGTAGGCTTTGCGCTTTTTGATCTCCTCAAGATTGTCACTGTTTGGCGTGGTCGGTCGGTCCCGCACAGTTTGACCAAGCGCCACAAAAATAAAAAAAAAAATATTAGAAAAATATATAAAAATTTAATAAAAGTTATGCACTTGCCGGCAATTGCGGACTGAAAATTTGCATAGACGTACGACTCTATTTTCGCTATGTCTGTGTGTTTATATTTGTAATTGTTTAATCGCACTTTGGTCATCTATGTGGGTTAGATATGACTAGCAACCAAACGACTGAACGACCGTGTGCCATGGAATTTGTAATTCAAAAATTAAGTTCTACAATTTATATTTTTGCATTTCGAATAACGCGCTCACACCGGTTTCTGATTGTGGCGCCACCTTGCGCATCGGGTGCGTACCTGATAAGGATGCAGGGTTGATGACTTGGCTATGCCAGCAAGGACAATGAAACTTTGAGCTTTGACTGGTATCACTAAATGCTCGTATATAACAGTTAAAACGGAGCTGAAATTCACCAGATTATCTATATTATAAACCTTTCAATGTTCCATTTGAATGATTCCAACTATAAGATACTTTGATCCATTACAATAAGAGGTTAAGGCAAGCGCTATTCATGAAAATGGAAAACTTGATTAATTAAAGAACAAAACCAAAAATCAGTATGCAGCCACATATTTCAACTAAAGTGAAAAATACTTTAAAATACATATGTATATTGAGTGGATGTATTTATAGTTGTCTTTTGCTTGTAACGAATGCCAAGTATTCGATTCAGTGAAAATCCATTTGATTTATTGGCGGCTATTTATGCGTACTAAAAGCTTCAAAAATGTTAATGTAATATCTTTAAAAACATAGTAAAAATCCATCGCTTAACATCTTCGACCACATGCTGTTTTGCCTGGGTCTGCCTAATGCATTTTCAACTTTTCTGACTATAAGAAAAAATAAAAAAATAAAATGAGCAACGCCCGCATTCCAATGAAAGCGCCAGCAGCTGCACGAAAAGCAACATCAGCAGCAGCAGCAGCAACAACAACAATAACAACAACACCAAACATGCAGGCACACACAAGTCAAAGAAATTTGCTGTTAATTCACGTATTAACCTCTTGACATTTGGCAGCAGCGTCGCCAACCAAAAGAAAAACAAGTCGACAAAATTCCAACATGGTGGCAGGGACGGGGAACGACACGGGGAGCAGGGAAGGGGGCGAACGAGAGACACATCTGCCCGGCTGTGACGCTGCATAGAAACTGTGTCAATGTGCCAACATCAACAACAAAATGTTGGGGCGTAGTGTGTCGATGTGGATGATGTTGGTGGCATGTGGGAGGGCAGCAAGCGTTATTGGCGTTGGAGTTAAAGCGATGCCTTTGCCGTTGGAGTTCGAGTTGGAGCCACGCCAAATGGAAACTTGCGCCGCAGCGTGTGTGTCGATGTGTCGCTGCGGCTTTGTGTCTTTGTGTCTATGAGTACGTGCGCTTCAATGACTTTCAATTAAATCAATATTCATCGTTTTGGCTGCCTCGGGGTCTAAATGGCAACGGGCGGCCCCGGCCAGGCTCAGACTGTGACAGAGCATGGAGAATAGAGGCCGTGGCAGAGGCAGCTGCAGCAACGACTCCGCTCCTTGATTAGACGCGACGCGGTAACGACAACAACAGCAACAACTACAACAGCAACAACAGCAACAACTACAACAGCCAACAGCAGCAACAGCCACAGCAGCATGGGAAAATGTGCAATTTTGGCCAAAAAAATAAATAGTAAAGGCTCGAAGAGACCAAGCTCGGCCTGACCGAGCCTGAGCACATTGCGCAAATTTTGGCGGACTATGTCTGTGCTTGCGTCTGTTTCTGTGCAGCCAGTCTGCTGTCTGCAATCAAAGATACACCACAAAATAAACATTTGAACCACTTGCCTGAGCCTTTCACAAAAACAACAAACAACAACCAGCCACCAGCAACAAAAACAATCACAGCGCACAGAAGGTGGCACAGCCGAAAGCCGCGCGCGAGCGAATAATTAATGTTTGCCAATAACCGAAGACACCTTCAGCGCCGCCAGTTGCCAATTGCCAACTGCCAGTTGGCAGTTGCTGATCGCCAGGTCGACTGTGGTACCGTCTAAGTCGATTTGACAAGTGCGCCATGCGCCGGTGGTGGTCATGCAAATGAGGCATTTATAATTGTTGGCTACAGTTGAAAGATTAATGTGGAAGGAAGAAGAGGGATTACGAGAAAGGGATCTCATACGATCATTAATCAACAAAAACAGTTCACAGCACTCGACTAGTTTCATGATAATTTCATAACTAAAAAACGGTTGTAGCTAAACTAAACTTGATTTCAAATAAGTTTAACAATAAGGTATTTAAGATACGTCTAAAGCAACCAAGAACACCTTAAAGTTTAAGATAATTAATTTAGATAACTGAGGTATTCATCTAAATTTACACTTAATAAAGAAGAAACACAGTCTCGTTAGTCATTCATATTCTAAGGAGACTTTCATTGTGAATCAAATGAGGAGATTGACTTTTATGAATAATCCTTAGCACATAATAATAATAATAATATAATATTATAATAATTTTCATGAATAATTTTTATTAACAATTTGACTTTCCCATTTTTAAAATTGACAACAGAAAATTGTATATATAATTTCATCAAGAATTCACACAATTCATAATTAATTAAGTTCTGTGACTATCATTCTCTATTCTGTCGGGCCATCCTTGAGCCCATGCAGCACTCGTAGCCAAAACATGCAGTAGCTAGCAGCATGCCACCTAACCAAACTACAGCTGCCACATAATAGTACTCGAGATCATTGGAATTCACCTCCTGTAGTGTGGCGCGGTTAATGAAATGCAAACGTCCGCTCTGTATTCCATGGCCAAATCCATCGTTTTTCATCTTAAGCAGAATGCCGGCCTCAAACATACGTCGCACATACCAATTGAAGATCTTCAGATAAGGGCGACCATAAGCGGCAGGCATGAAGAAGGGTTGCTGGTAGATGATCTTCGGTAGCTTGCGAAACAAGGGAACACGCAGAAACTTTTGCTGATAAAATGTAAAGTCGATTTTATCCTCCAAGGCGCTGTACACCATGCTGGTATTGAGCTCATGTCGATAACGTTCCACCAGATGTTCCGGTGTGAGCACCAGCCGCTTGGCCAACTGCGGATGTATGTCTGGCAGCTGGAGTAAGAACTTCAACGTGATCTCCTCTTCCGGCAACTGGTAATCAGTGCCCTCCAAGTCATCGAAATTGTTCAGCTGCTTGTCATAGATACCCGCAGCCAAATTGCTGGAAAGCACCGCCAGGTAAAGATTAGTCAGCATTAATCCAGCAATGGTCATCATAATATAGAGGAAAAGACGACGCGGGCCCGGCAGGGCAACCAAATCTCTACCTGGCGGCAGAAAAAGCGATAGACGAAAAATTTGCAGAAAGGCTCCACTTAAATTTAGACGTCCCCGAGAGAGCAGAAACAGTGCTCCGCTGCAGTACATCAACATGGCCAGTAAAACTAACCAGGTGTAAGAAGTGTAGGGTTTCACCAGATACAAATATCTTGGCAGGAGTCTGGCCGATGGAGCCATCAGAAATCTATTCTCAAGCCAGAGAACAACGCTGTTCGTAAAATTCGGTGTCTTTGCCAACAGATAGGGTAAGAAGTCGACGTCCCGAGTGCTCAGCACTTGGTTAGCTTCACTCAAGGTGTCCACTCTGCGAGTTCGAATACTGCCCTTGAAGTGATGGATAAAATCCAAAACCATGCGCAGCATATAGCCAGCGTATATATTCCGATCCCGATGATTTTTGAATACAAAGGCTGTCGGCGGTGCACTTATCAGGATGCCACAAGTTATATTATAGCCATGAAAGTCCCAGAGCAAGTCGCGAGTTCGATGAAAATACTGCAACGTATTCTCCATTTTTAACAGTCGCACTTCCGGATACGGCATATAACTAAACAGTTTCTGTGTAAACGGCAACACAACCAAAATGTGAACCATGCCCTGACGCCAACAATGCGTAAAGAGCTGAAACAATTTAGCCGTCGTTGCTTCAGGATATATGATCAACACGTGCAGCTGCTGTGCTCGCCATAACCATGTGGTGAGGTAATCAACCATGCTGCTGGTATGCACATCCTCCAAATAGATGACGGTCAAAGCACGCTCACTATAATTGCCACTCATTACGAGCTGCAGCGTCGTATTGGTTACGCGGACTGTTGGTAGCTCAGATTCTCTAGCCGGTATTAGACTTTCGAAAAGAGTCTTGTTGCCAAACGCAACGTAGACATTCAACTCTAATTTATACAAGGCATTAAGCTGATCAATACATTGACTGACATAGCTGCCCGGCAGCAATGTTAGATTCTGTATCACGTTCATATACAGTAAGTCCATTGGAGCTATTTAAGCCAGGAATCTCTTGGCGGTCTGCTTTTATACTTAACATTTTAGTGGAAGGACCCATCATTAAGACATCACACTCAAGTGCTTAATTAACAAAACAATTGTAATTGTATGTTAAGCTTAACTCCCTATCACATGTTTGGTTTTTCTCACTATTCATCTTGGTTAATACTCAATTGCACCTTAAACATTTCCTAATTGAATGACTGCATAAAATACCTTTGGATTCGTTTAACAATTACTCGAAAATAATTGGATAAATTAGTTGATGGTTGTAGTTGTACTCTAGGCGTACGCAAGAAACAGTCTCAACTATGCCTATTGGAGAACTGACAATTTAGTTGTATGCCTCCCGCTGATTATTATCAGTTTTAACGACAATTACGCCCACCTAGAACATTTGCCTATTTCACATTTACATTAAAGTTGTTGTCGTGCGCGACTGCTACACTCCCAGTCAGTTAAGTTAAGTTTACTAAGCTTGGTCTTATCACCCATCTACCAAACGACCCCTTGACCACAACCACATAATGATTTGTTGGTGGGGCTGGGTCGGCTTGCTTTAACGTGACCGCCCCAAAGTCAAGTGTCATAGTTATTTCTGGCTCAGAGGAAATATAATGCAATTGATTTAATACGTACGTTAACTCTCATGTGAAAAATTATGTCAGCCAGATGGCATTTTCAGATTCTTAGCAAGGTTTTATTAATAGTGAACTTAGAACTATCTGTAAGTCAATAACAATAATAAAATATATGTTATAACACATTCACATTTATTAGCTTATAAATTCCATACGGTAGTTAGCATGAGATCGCTGAAACTGATATAATTCATATAAATATGCATATTTTAACAATAGATTAATATTCATTTATAATGGTATTCAATTGAAATGACCCTCGTTCGTCTGACTATTTTGTAGTGTCATTCGCTTTCTGAGTAACTCTAGAATGAAACACAGTACAGACAATCCCAAGCCGATAGCCCATAAGGCAAACACATAGAAGTAGAACTCCAAATCATAGTGTTTTTCTTCCACTCCATCACCTCTCATTAGCTTAGTTATGCCGCTTTTAACTACATCTCGCCAAGAATCGCTCCTCATCTTTTTCAATATGCCACTCTCAAAAATGCGTCTGATATAAATATTAAGTATATTCAGGTAGGGCAAACCAGGGGCGACTGGAAAGGACATGAGACCATCGCACAAGCTCTGCGTCATCATTTTGAACCGTGGAACTTTCAGCAAGTGCTGTTGATACAGAATACCTCTAATGCGATCAGAATAGCCAATATACATAAAGCTAGTATTCAGAGATAGGCGAGCATTTTCCACAACACTTGAAGGTACAGTTTGAATATGATTCCGGACTACAGGTGGCACAGAATCCGAATGCATTAAATAATTCGCAAAGTATTCGGACATTATAAGCTTATATGGTGCACGAGCTAAGTCCTCGAGAGTATTGTACTGTGGCTCAAACAGACCCGCTGTAAGCATACTTGATAGCTGCGCCAGATAAGAGGTTGTCAAAATAAGTCCACTGCTGATCAGTATAAAGTGTATCGCATACTGTTGCCAATTCGCGATGTTGATCATTGGCTGAGCCACATACAATATATGACACCAGCTATGCAAAAAATGCCTCCCAATCTCAGGGCCTCTATTGCCATTGGTTCTACAAAGCATAAGCATCCCGTATCCTATTGAACCAATCACTGCCAGCCAAACAGTCCAAGTGAAAGGGCGTGTGAGGTAAATATAGCTGGCAATGGGTCGAGCATGAGGCACCATAATATGCATTTTGAGTAAATACAGTGACGTGGTGCCTGATGTACCCAACTCCGACTCCATTGGTTTGTAGATAACGTCAATGGTCTTATTTTTCAAGTAGACCAAATAATTTTCGTATATTTCCGAAAATTTTAGCTCCTTTAGGATCATGACTGTACCATTGTGACGTCGGGCAAATTCCAAGAATACATGATGCATATACCCTGATTGGACCAACTGTCCACGACGATTCACGTACCGAAAAGTTCGTGGTATACTTTCAAAGGAAATTATGCGAATTGGATATTGCTGAAGGTCTCGTAGTTGGTGCCATCTATTGAGGTAATCTCCAACTTGTCCCAGTTTTGTGATGCGTATTTCCGGATACGGATTGTAACTATAAAGTGACAATGTTTGATTAAGTTTATGGATGAGCAGCACATTGATGAACCCCTCCCGAAAACAGTAAGCATAGAGATCCTGTTGCCAGGCACTGGGTTGCGAGGCCGTTATAAACACTATATGAAGTGCATGTAGTTCAGTCAACATTGATGACAGTAAATTGGCTACAGTAGCATCCAGGGGTGTCGTCCTTATATAAACCACCGTTAAAGTCTTTTCGGTAAATCGGCCAAGTAGAGAAAAATTTGTAGAAAAGTTAGCTGAAAGCTCAAGCTGAATTTTTGGCGTATCCATTTGAAGTATCTCTAATGCATCCGGAGAGTTATAGTCCAAGTTTATAAGTATATTGAGGTTTATGTTGTAGGCAGTGTTGAGCTGTGTTAATACTTGTGATAGTCCAGAAGATTTAGTTTGTTCTGAATTAATAGCATGACGTCCAAAATATTGAAGAAGTAAGAAAAATCGCAAAATCGAATGCATTATAATCTTATATTATTTGCTCTTTAAAAACCGTTAAAACACTCAGCTCCAAACAAACGAAATCTGTTCCTTAGAGGGCCTTACAGGGAATTAAGCTGAGAACAGTCTTGACTCAAAGCACGAGCAAAGCACACTACACATGAAAGAGAGGCGTCAGTTAAGCTTATATGTGTTCAGCTGATTATAAGCAGGTGTAACGCAAATAACACTTAGCCAATATAGTCGCCAAGTCCATATTTAAATCCTAGATAAAATCATGCCCTGTTGCTGCAACACCCAGTCAAAGAAAAGTTAATTTGAACTTATCGAACATCTACTAAATAGCACCTTGACCACGGGTCTGGCTATTTCTGCTCTAACATAACTACCGCATTGCCAAGAATCACCTCTCACATATATATACCATGTACGCATTAAAATGTAAGAAATAGTTTCAAGTGACAATCAGCATATGCCTTTAATGTGTATGCAATATTTGGAAGTGCTCAGGGCATCTGCTAGTTGAGAGAGGTCTCTAACTTGATCATTTTCATTTTGCATAGTTCAAAAGCATATATTATTCAATGGATGAACGCTAATCGCAGAGCTGATGTATGCGGTAATTATGTAAGCTAGATGACACTTTTACAATAACTATGCTACAATTTTTAGACTGCACATTTTAATTTGCATTTTAAAGATCAATATAATTAGTTTTGAACATTATATAGAGCCACTTTAACATGTTTATGTTTTACCTGTAATAAAAATGTGTTGGTAAAACTATTGAATGGTTTGAAGAATGGTATGCTTGATATGATCAGAGGTTCTTTTGTTGCTGCTGCTGCACTGTTTGAAACTCGTTAGCCGACAGCAGCAATAGCAGCAAACAACAGCAACGATTGCAAACAACTTAAAATTGAAATCGCTCATAAATTCTGTCACTAATTGTAAAGAATGGCAGACCTTGAATTCAAATCAACAGCTCAGTCAGCCAATGGCTACTGCTAAGCAAATGTCTTGCAAAATTATGAAGCTACACAAATCTAAAGAAACACAACAACACCAACAAAAACGCAATAGTAGAAGCAACAACAATGTGCGATTGTATTTGAAAATGACGATAAATAAATATAAATTTCAACGGCAAACATAAAGAGCTATTGACTGTTGACTTTTATGAACAATTAGGCGGCAGCCACTTAAAGAGGCGAATATATTGAGATACAGATACGCAGATACAGATAGATAGATAGATGATAGTTATACAGATATCGAGTGCATACATATATGGCATACAAGTGTAGCACACACATATGGCTAATGGGCCTCTCTATGGGTTCTCTATGGGCCTGGCCAACAATAAACTGCCATTGATTAAATCGACAACTGCAGCAGCACGCAACAGCAACAGGCTGTGCAACTGGATGTGGGGTGTGGGGGCAGGCGTGACGAGGGCGTTGCAAGCTTTGGACTTTAATTAATGGATTCAAAGCATTTATGCAAATGGCGGGAAATAATTTATCACCCATTCAAGACGCAACAGCCACAATTGCAGTTACTCCAATACCAACAACAACGACAACAATCAAACCTTCCATCCAAGCATTGCAATATGCAAAAGTTTTGTTCATTAGCGTAACGCCCACGCAGTTAACATTAAGTGGGCGTGGTCGCAATCCGCACACGTTCTCTCAAAGTATTTCTATTTTTTTTCAGTATTTCTACTTATTTATTTTTTTTTTTTGGAGGCGGCTTCGTTTGATTTGCTTTGGCTCAACTGTCGAGTTGATTTTATTGTTGTTGCATTTTATATGATTAGTACTTAATTTATAATTTTTTTTTTTGCCGTCAATAATGCACTTAATTGTATAGGTTATTGTTGCTGAGAAATCGGCGCAAGGTTAGGAGATTAGAGATTTAAATACTGCTGTGGGCTGTTTGCTGGGTTGGCTCAACTTGTATTTGTGTGTGGGTAGAAATTCTTCTGAGCAGCATTTATGATGAAGAGCACCATATAATTTAAATAATGAAGATTCAATTGAAAAGTGAAATGAATGCGTCCAGGGGCCATGCGTCATAAAATGAATACCTACAAATATATTTGTTCTTTAATATTCTACATTAAATAACATAATAATATGTAATTTGTTTGTTGTTTTAATAAACTTTTTATTGTAGAAAACTTCAGTTGGTCCGCTTTTAATATGCTTACATTCAAAAGGTTATTGTCTATCAATTCTTCCTTGCTCCTTGTCAATTCGTTAGTAACGCCCACACAATTCGACACCCACAACCACATAAAAACTGGCCAAAACATTAAAATAACAATCATCTAGCATTACTTATCGCCACATCATTGTGAACACCCCTTCGCCGCTCCCAACAACCGTCTCGAATCATAACCCAACGATCTGTTTAAAGTCTAAGTATGCCCCAAAGCAATAGTTGAGTTATTTTGCAGTCAGAGTTGAAACTGTAGCCGTAAAATCAATTTGCCCAAACGTCTACAACTTTATCACACAGTCCACTTAGTCATAGTCAGAGTCATGGACATACTGCTCAAGATGTAGACAGTCTCCGTGTAGGCAAATGCTAAGGAATCGGACACTCTGGACACTGGACAACGAACTCCATCTGCCATCGGTCAATCAGCAAGTTAGACAAACTTCGGCACTCATAGCCCAAAGGGGTATAGAAAAACACTTAAATTTCTGTTATCGCATTGGCCATATCAATTGACTTTTTGGGGGCACCATAAATTATATGGCCGCAACCATCAGACGGTGCCAAAGACAATAATTCACAATCGATCGATTGAGGGAGTGGAAGAGACAGTTGGAGCATTGCAATTTTCGAATCAGGCGCACACAACTAATGCCAGAGATTTTCCTAAATGGGTCAAAACAACAAGGAAAAGATCCGCAAATGGCTCTTGAGAAAGTTATCGGTCAGTGGTCAAAAAGTGGTCAGTGATAATGGTTTCATCGGTGAGCCGATGGGCAAGTTATTAGCGTGACCGGGGTTAATCAAAAAATTTCTGACCCTCGCAGCACTTGAGCAGTTGGTTGGGGCGTATCTGTGCGATGCCTGGCCATAGACAACCATATGCATTAAAATTAATTGCCTATCATAAAATTGTGTCCGCTGACCAAAAATTGGAAAAGGCAAGTAGGAGTGCTGTAGTCTAGAAAGCACGACTAGGCGATACCCTCAACACTAAATCGTACACGTATTTAAACCGGCGAACTTGGCCTAATCGAATTGGCTGATACAAAATAAATATATCTTATGGGCTCAAAATTGCTGTCCTGGCCTATTACACATATTTACGAATTTTAATGCTTTCAATATAAAATAAAAATCACGCTTGAGGACGGCTCCAAATTTTCCACTGCCATAACTTTGTCAAAAGTCAAGCGATATTCAAAAGCATGGGCGTTTTGATGGTGTGTTGACACCTAAAGTAATATTACATTTGAGTTTGAAAACGCGATTCACATTTCATGATACCCGCCTACCCTTTATTAATGAATAGCTTGTATATTAAATTTCTTAATCTATGAGTTTGCGATTGGTCGTATATTATTAAAGGCGTTGGCTCCCTGGCCAGACTTGAACTCTGCTTAAGCCGAGTTAATGGGCCATAAACATTGCTACGGTAAAAGTCAAGCGATTGTGCGCCTAATTTGTCGCTTGCCAGGCCAATCAGGCCGGCAGCAGCAACATGTTGCCGCAGCAAACACAACATAAACAAGTGCAGCAGCAGCAACAACAACAAATGAACTATACACAACTGTGTGTGTGTGTTTCGGCTGTCAATTGCTGACATTTGCAATAGTCCAATATGTTTGACATTCATTGGCGATCCGCATGTTGCCAAGTGGCTGACATTTTGCCGCTTGCATAACAGGCAGCAACAGCAATCACAACATCAACATCATCAGCAACAACAGCAACAGCAACAGCTACAGCAACAGCATCAGCTAACAAGCTGGCAAATCAAACTCAGCAAGGCGACTGATTGAACTTGTTGCTATAGATAGGCAGATGCAAATATCGTTAGTAACATAATGCCGCAACAAGTGCATCAAACTAACATGTCAACTCAGTGACTACAGCTTTTTTTTATTCCTCTTTATTATTGTTGTGCGTTTAATGTTTATGGTCCATGCATTCGCTCATAAAAGCCAACAATCTAAACACGCCACTTAACAAACAATTGTTGATTAATTGTCGACAATTGCACACCATTGCGAGATGCAGGTGTTGCCTTGTTTTCAATTAACTTGATTTTTACATAATTTAGCTTTTGTTGTATGGTTAATGCAGAAACCAGAAAGAAAGTCCATCTTAATCACGGCGAAGATTACATACCCTAGATGGGAGTTTCAGTCGAAATAATACTATGATATTTTCGTATTAACCAAATGCTTTCTGTTTCACAACTGGCAGTGAACTGTGATCAGAAAGCATGATCCCCTAACTTAAAAATCATCTATTAACCAAAGCAATAAGGTGAGTATATACCAAATTGTATCAAAATAAGTATAATACTGAGTGAGAGTTGCTCAAATAAATAAGATCAAGCATATATATAAGATATGGCGAAGACATTTCTTGATAAAATTCATGATAAAACTTGTATTGTTTTCTTTTTTATTTAACTGTTAACTCTCAAGTTTAGT